ACAATACAATCGATTTAGAGTAAGTCAGGATTCAGAAATTCATGGGTTTTGCATTGTTTTAATGGCAACCCTTCCCTGTAATTAAAAAGCAGTATGATCTTTTAAATCTGTATTCTCTAAACTACTGCCATGGTTTATATTAAAATAAAGAAATAAAAGTATAACCCTTCTCATCTTTCAAGATGCTACTCTTGGGTCTGTCCTGTCTCTCCTGTTCATTTTACTTTCTTTATACAGTCCTGCAAGATGCAGACCACCACCTGCAATGACCTGAACTTCAATGGGAGTCAACTAAATGTTTTTTTGATCACAAAAAGCAAATTAGTTGAAACTGAAACTTTTGCAGAAATGTATCAGTTGCAACAAAATTTTTGTCTGGATGGTTTCTGTGGTCAAAACCAGAAAGTGATCCACCCCAGAATAGCAAATAGCTAAGGACCTCCACTGGGGGGTTTTATTATGCTTAAAATTTCCTGGGAATTCATCTGTATTTATTACAAAAATTAAAAATGGGTGAAAATCAGTGGAGAAAATTAACACAGCTTTGTGGGCAGGAAAAAAAACAACAAAGACGGATAAGTAAGAGTATTGAAAGTAAATGCAGTTTAACGCTGTGGTTAATATTTTACTTTTAGCTTTATTTTTTAAAAACTTTACTATGAAGAGGAAATGGATGGAGCCACGCTGAAGGGCTGGGGTCAAAATGGGGCTCTAGCCATCAGAGGAGGCAGATGGGTGCTCTCTCTCTCCCCAACTGCACAGCTGCAGCAGCTACAAACTCACAGTTACCTTCCTCTGAACAGGTGCACTGTGCCATCTGGTGGGAACTGTGCAAGGGACAGCCAGGTTTTGGGAGTTCTGACACTTGCAAAATTCATGTTAAAAAAAAAATCAGTAGACCCCAAACTTCAAGTTTTTCAAAACCCAAGAATTTTTCAGCTAAATTCAGTAAATTCCAAAAATGAAAAAAATATATGTTTAAATCACAGAAAACTGGATGCAAACAGGTTGCTATGGAGACTGCTAGAAATAGGTCACATTTATAGGGATGGTATGTATTAGATGGATGGGGCGGAAGGTTGTAAAATACGCAAGTTTTCCGAAATATGTTGAACAAGCTCTGCTTCTACCACTAATAAACTAGAGAACTGGTGCATTTTGATCTTTAATCGTGTTTGATATGTATTCAATGTAATGTTCTGTCATAAACTCTGAATGCAAGATGGCAGGCCACTTTCTCAAATGGCGAAAGAGCCTACAAGCAAGAGTAATTATGTCAGTCTCCTCACACTACTTGGACAGTGTTTTGGGGCCACTGGATCTGTGTAATTCCAGTTTCAGTAGCCCCTCTCCTGCCTTGGTCCAGTGCACTTCCATCACTTTCCACACTACGCTTCGTCGACAAAGTAACCTAGTGTACTCCTACTCTACCCTCTTTAGGAAAATGCAGCAAAGACCTTCCATAGGCCCACCTATGCCAGAGTAAACTGTGTGCTATATTAATAAGAACTAAAAATCTAAAATAAGCATGAGATGACAAACTAGGATACAAGAGTTCAAAAATGGTCTAAATTGTCAACAATGGGCAAAGAATTACTTGCTCACCACACTTGCTGAAATTACTTTAGTCTGCTAAATCAAACTCAACAAGTATCCAATTCTAACTATTTCACAGAATGTAATAAATCCTGTGACATCGATGCTATAGTGGCTTGTGCTGCAGTCCCTCAGAGTATGTACAAAATTGCAAATGTATGTTTTGGAATTTCCAAGCACAAATTAACAATATTCAGCATACCCAAAAAGATTAAAAATGGGGGAAGGGGGGAGGGGAAATGCTACTATAAGATCTAATACATTCACTGTTGTAATTTCTTTCTGCTAAATTATCATTTAAAATTCATATTTAAAAGAAAGACCCAAGAACATTAAAATATATTCCTTATTCTTTCCTTTAGCTTCAAGGTCAGATCATGACCAAGATGAAATCCAATGAAGTCAATAGCAAAATTTCCTTTGACTTCACTGGGGCCAGGATTTCACCCTAGATCTCTAATAGTTTCACAACTTCAATGAAAAAAGCATGAAGTATTGGAGTCAACTCACTACTGTGTGTAATCAGTTGTACTCTGATTTAAAGTTAAATAAAGGAACAAGGAATGCAATTTTGATCACTTACTTACTTCATAAGTAAAAGTTATCCTGAAGCAATTTTATCAGTGTTTAGCATTCTGGAAATTCTACGGGATGTTGGTGATTAACAATATCACCAAGGAGGGGGACATCACATCCAAGTACAGTAGTGTACTTCTATTGACTTCAATGGAACTGTGCTGAATTACTGACTGGCTTACTGACAACGTTCTAGCTGAAGAACTGGCCCTACATATAGGAAATGAAGACAATAATCATTTTTATTTTTACATAGTCCCTTTACACAGGTACATCCCAAAGTACTTTACAAACTATGTTGGCTGTTCAAACTACATACAGAAGTTCGGACTTCGCCCAGCCTTGCCCACATGCATAAGGAATGGCCAGGGTGGAAGGAGCCTTTTCCCCACTCTCCTGCGACCTTTTGTCCTTGTACTCCCCAGCATGCAAGCATTATGTGGGTGCTCCCTGTTCATGGGAGCTCTAACTGAACAATCCTTAAATTCCTTGAATGTTTCTGATCTTTGTTCCAGTGTTCAACCAGCTCTCATTTTGAAAACCTGAAACCGGGTTTATAATGCACATTTGGAACCCTAATTATAGCTACCATTTCTGGTGCTGATGAGGGTATCACCTCTACTGTCTCTTTTAGGAGGAAACTTGCTGGGTGCTGTCAACTAGTTACCTACACTGCACAACTGTTTAGTACAAGAAGCTAAAAATGAGGATTCACAACTGAAACCACAAGGGGAGTCAAGATACCACACTGCAATGTACTTAGCACTCAATTCTCACTCAGCAGCTAGTAGGATCAGGTTCCTGTGTGGGCAGACTGAAATGACTTGAATTGGAATATTGCTAGGGCTAACACACCTACTCTTGCAAGAAGTGTCATGCACAAGTAATGTGGACTTGTGATCAGAGAAATGGCAACTACAGCAGCATACATATTAATTTTTTAAATGATAAAAATACCATGACAAGTGCTCTTCAAATATGGTTAGTATTATGAAACTATATGGAGCTCTGACTAAGTTAGCGTATGTCTACACTTCAGCCTGGAGCACGCTTTACAGCTCAGATAGGAAGACGTGCTAGCTTTGCTCAAGTTAGCATACTAAAAATAGCATTGTAGACCAGGTGGTAGCAGTCTATATGTACCCGGTGTCTGTGAGGGTTTGTACTCAGGAAGCTAGTCACAGCTGCCACTTATATTAACTCCAGCTACACTAGGCTTTTTACTGTGCTAGTTTGAGTGGAGCTAGCATGCGTATGTCTACCCAAGCTGGGAAGCATGCACAAAACAAAAGACAAATTCCATGGTGTAGCACATGAGAAATTGGGACAAATCATTCTCAGTGGAAGGGATCCAGCTACAGAATAAACTTACGGAGTATATTAGGCAAATCCCATCAAACTATCTTTAGGAAACACTGCAAAATGTTCCTCTTTGGAAAAATATTTCCATCATAACAAGAATGGCAACAGAAGAAGAAGAGCTCTGTGTGGCTCAAAAGCTTGTCTCTTTCACCAACAGAAGTTAGTCCAATAAAAAAATATTACCTCATTCACCTTGTGCGACTTACAACATTGATCTACCCAAACACTCGCCAAAAATAAAACAAACAAACAGGGTTTTGTAACAAACAAATCTACCAACCACCATCAAAATTAAACATATGAAAACAACGTTTATTTGTATCCCCAAAAGCACAGTATAAAACCTAAGATCATATACACACAGACACCATAAAAAGCTTTAATTAATTACTGATATATCAAACCAGCGTATTTTGCTTATATCAGCCCTATAAAGTGAGACCTTTAAAACACTTTTTACATAGAAAATGTCCTTTGTCATGCCTCTTAAGCAGACCAAAGATGCCTGAAAGCTGTTGGAGAAACCCACTGGTGAATTCCCCGTGCAGGGATACTTTATATAAAGCTGGTGTGGGTGGCTTTGTCACTTCAGGCACTAGCTGCCCTTTCCCCATTGTAAGGGGAAAATGGAGGTATGTTGGGGGTGTTCAAGGGCAGGGCATGGAGAAGGAGAGGATGCATACAGAGCAGAGCTACACATGACCCATTATTAGCATAAGATTCCAGTAGCATAAATTAGGTTTACCCTTGCATAGCCCTAATGTGCTAGAGCCATGTGACCCTGTTAGGGAGCCGCAACTGGCTACCAGCAGCCTTCTTGCTTTTCTGTTCAGTCTGTGCAGCTCAAATACAATGGAGAATCAAGTCCAGAGTGCTTTTTATTACAGCCAGGACTTGAATGAAGCCCTACCAGTGAAGGCTGCTGAATCATCCCACTGGAATTCTGGCCATATCACCTCACCAGCCAACAGTCCCATTTTGCAGTCTTTGTTCAGGCCTCTGCCAAAAGGGAAATTGTGGTGTTCTTCTTAGCAAACCTTTTTCCACTCACGGGCATCCACCAGTTTTGATCTAGCCCAATTTATTGACCTTTTTCCACTGGCATTACTTTATTTATAATTAACTGCAAACTATCTGGTATCAGGAGGATCTATTATGATCTACAACATCTCAAGTCTGATTTTCACAGGTGCTGAGAAAACATGGAAGACAATGAGAGCTGCAGGTGCTCAGCATCTGTGAGTTTTCCCTCAAGAAACAAAAATGCAAATGCAGAGCTGTAAAACAGAAAAGGAAGGGAAAAAGAAATTATCTAAACTTCTCCAATCTTTAAAAAGGTTTAGTTTGGCTTCAGGTTCAGTTAGAGGTTTGGGTGAGGCTCTTCATCGATTTGCATTCTATATGGATCAGTTCACCCTCTCATTAGTGACATCCTTTTGCTGTTGCTATCATCTCCCATCACTTACCGTCTTTCAAGATTGTCTCACGCTCTGTGCCATCAATTTTCTGTCGCCCAATCAGGAAGCTTGTAGTGTCAGCAAAGTAGATGTAATTGGTCTCAGCATGGAAGTCCAGAGCACGAGGGTTGACCAGGTTTTCTATGGGGATCATGTATTCATCAGCGACTTTGGAATTCAGGTCCATTCCTCGTATGATTCCCGGGCGTCCCTTCCCATAAAACAGGAACAACTCATTCTTTGGTCCTGCAGAAAAAAGATTGCAAAATGCAAACAACCAATGCCGCCTAATCTTCTTTATGCTGCATGATGTCACTTGTTAATTAACCGGCACAATTAGAGGTTTTTTATTCAATACCAAAAATTAAACCCTTACACATTCTGAATGTATCTAAACTCAAAATGATGATAGCTAATTACATTACCTTAATTAAAATACAAATACCTCTGAGATTAGGTTATATCTAATTAATCATTCTTTTGTCTGTAACAATCGACTTTGCAAAAACATGACAGATCATAAGATCACACTGGCTACAAAGTTAAACAGCATGTATAATATTGTAGGCATTTAATTTTACAATTCATTAGGCTCTGTCGAGGCTGTTTTAGACAGTGACTGTGGCATTCATTAAATCTGACAATACAGAAAACTTCAGCAAATTCAAAACAGACCACTCAAAATCTTTCATCTGAAGACAGGCAGAAGCAAATAAATCAAAAGATCTTATTTTATTTCGACAGTGCTAAGAATCCACAAAAATGACTCAAAGTTTTGCTGCAAACATAAGAAAAAAATATGGCAAAACTTTTAATCAATGCCTCTAGAGCTCTATGTTGGGTTTTTAAATCAAATCCGTTTGGTTTTAGCGGATGTACATAAAATTCAGTTGTAAGGTGGGAAGAAAGAATAAACTATTTGAAAATTTCATCAGATTTTTTTATTGATGATGCCCAAACCCCAAAAGGTTTTGAGAATCAGTTTACCTGTAAGTGTCAAAATACAAGCATCTATCTACTTGTGTGGTCCGCATCACACTATTATCTGAACTAAATCAAATGTCTTTGGCCAAGAGATCAGACTAAAAATCTCAAAAAAACAAGCTCTCATATAAAACTTTTAGGACTCATATTTTGGCTGGGTCAGCTAATCCACAGGTTGTTTCTCTCTCAGAATACTCCATCTGCTATTGGTCCCAGCCCAAATCAGGAATTTTCAGAGAAGAAATACTTAATCTTCAAAAAATGTTTGCATTTCTTATGTTACACAAATCAACTTGTTCTTCCAAACTATCATGGACAAAACCCTGTTTGCCTTATTCACACAGTGTTACTGCTTATGAATCAGAATGGTGAGAAGGATTTGACCCACTGTGGGTAAAAATTAATGTGAAAATATTTAATTCTGTTGCAGTACTGATGTATTATGACACCAAATAAACAGAGTAAAAGTTACTAAATGAAAATTTGGAAGGATTTGTTTTTGTTGTTGTTTTTAATTTTAGTCAATAGTGCCCCAGGTTCAATTTACCCACTTCTATAGAATGAATTTAGTCAGATAGCTTTAAGGGAATAAAAGGAGAATGTGAGCAAAATGGCAGGTGCATACTGCAAACAAATTTTACCTAACAACTTATGTTATTTCTATTGTTGATGATGATGTTAATTAACACTCAGAATTCTACCCTGAAATATTAGCTGCTAGGAAAGTGTTTGATTTTAACATACTTTTGCATGACCTGCCATCACTTCCCAAGACGAAGCCAGTCCTGCAGCGACAAGTCCGTGTTTTGTAGTTGCTGCTGAGCAGACAGATGTGCGAACAACCCCCTGGCATTCCATATGGGTCTACTTCACATGCATGGCTTCTGACTACAACGAATGAAAAATAGCATGCTTGAAATCCTTTAAAAGCAAGATAATTATATGCATCAGCATGTTGAGAGTTTAGACAGAAAAGCGAAACTGAGCTACAATCCATCTCTTCCCAGGATACAATCATAAAAGAGGTCAATTTTTAAAGATGATGCCCCAAACAGAAAAGTATATAAATTCGAAGTGTGATAATGTAGCTATTAAACCACATTTCACATTGGAGTAGGTATGCAAGCACTCTGTATGAGCAATAGACTGAGAAGCATTCGCTGAAGTAGCACATCACAGTGCAGACTGACATTATTTATCAGAATACAGCATGTGCTCCTTCCATGCCAACTAAACTCAGTATTGATCCACACCCTGGCTCTATACCCTTGTGGAGGAGTCTATCATCTCCCAGTCATTATGCTCAGGGAGGACAGGACCGGGATTTTGGCACTTCCATGTACAGGGACGAAAAAGCAGTAAGGCTCCCCACACACTCTTTTCCACATTTGCACACTGTGCAGAGCAAGCCACAGTTTGCTCAAAATGTTCATTTCTCTTGGTTTTACATTTTAAAGGCATACTTCTGAATTAACAGTAAGAGTACCCAAAATTAGGTATGAAAATATTTGATAATTAAAATAAGGAAAAAGACTTACCTTCTAATTCCACTTGTCTGAAGATATCATCTTGAAGGATTCTTATTCAGGGTTGTTAGCTACTTAGTAATTCTCTTAGTTCTTTAGATTTATTGACACTTGAGGGTACAGACAGTGGGGCAGAGTGTGAACTAGGCCACCTATTGACGGGCACATACCACCCCTGCCAAGTATAAATGCTGGCCTGCAAACATTCTAATCAGATCCTAGGTTTGTAACCTATCATTTAAATCAGCTTCTATACCAAATGACCAGAGGACACCAATTTTTAAAAAGGGCTCTAGAGGTGATCCCAGCAATTACAGGCCAGTAAGCCTGACTTCAGTACCGGGCAAACTGGTTGACACTATAATAAAGAAAAAAAATTTTAGACATATAGATGAACATTATTTATTGGGGAAAAGTTAACATTTTTTTTTAAAAGGGAAATCATGCCTCACCAATCTACTAGAATTCTTTGAGGGGGGTCAACAAGCATGTGGACAAGGGGATTCAGTGGATATAGTGTACTTAGATTTTCAGAAAGTCTTTGACAAGGTCCCTCACCAAAGGCTCTTAAGCAAAGTAAGCAGTCGTGGGATAAGAGGGAATGTCTTCTCATGAATGGGTAAATGGTTAAAAGATAGGAAACAAAGGGTTGAAATAAATGGTCAGTTTTCAGAATGAAGAAATAGTGGTGTCCCCCAGGGGTCTGTACTGGGACAAGTCCTATTCAACATGTTTGTAAATTATCTGAAAAAAGGGGTAAACAGTGGGGTGGCAAAATTTGCAGATGATATTCAAGATAGTTAAGTCTCAAGCAGACAAAAGGATCTCACAAAACTGGGTGACTGGGCAACAAACTGGGCAGAAATTCAATGTTGATAAATGCAAAGTAATGCACATTGGAAAACATAATCCCAACTATACACATAAAACGACGGGGTCTAAAGTAGCTTTTACCACTCAAGAAAGATTTTGGCATCATTGTGGATAGTTCTCTGAAAACATTCACTCAATGTGCACGACAGTCAAAAAAGTTAACAGAATGTTGGGAATCATTAAAAAAGGGATAGATAAGACAGAAAATATCATATTTCCTCTATATAAATCCCTGGTACACCCACATCTTGAATACTGCTTGCAGACGTGGTCGCCCTATCTCAAAAAGCGATATTGGAATTGGAAAAGGTTCAGAAAAGGGCAAAAAAATTATTAGGGGTATGGAACAGCTGCCATATGAGGGGGGATTAATAAGACTGGGACTTTTCAGCTTGGAAAGGAGACGACAAAGGGGGTATATGATAGAGGTCTATAAAATCATGATTGGTGTGGAGAAAGTAAATAAAGAGATGTTATTTACTCCTCATAACACAAGAACTAGGGGTTACCAAATGAAATTAACAGGCAGTAGCTTTTAAAACAAACAAAAGTAGTATTTCTTCACACAGCGCACAGTCAACCTGTGTAACTCCTTGCCAAAGGATGTTGTGAAGTCCAAAACTATAACAGTGTTCAAAAAAAGAACTAGATAGTTCATGAAAAATAGGTCCAGCAACGGCTATTAGCCATGATGGGCAGAGATGGTGTCCCTAACCTCTGTTTGCCAGAAGCTGGGAACAGGCGACAGGAGATGGGTCACTTGATTACCTGTTCTGTTCATTCCCTCTAGGGCACCTGGCATTGGCCACTGTCGGAAGACAGGATACTGGGCTAGATGGACCTTTGGTCTGACTCAGTATGGACGTTCTTATGTTCTTATCCTGTGACTGATTAGAAGGCAGAACTGCCAGAAAGAAAATCTCATTCTAGATTAGAAACAGAATATTAAAGATGTGCCTCAGAGAAAAATTAAAAATAAGATGCAAGGGGAAAACAAATAAAAATAAATGTAACTTTCAAAGTGTAATAGGAGGGAGGCAAGTGACTCAAAATCCTTTAAGATGATATCCTCTGATAAGCAAAATTTCTGTGTGTTCTAGCTTCTTAAAAGCTTCTGGTATATCTTCTGTGAAAGAAGTGGCCAGATGAAAGCCTTCTTCCTCCACCTAGGTTTTGACCATGAAGACCTGGTAGTCCACATTGCAATGGACTGTGGCCAAGGACTTTTAATCTATTTATCCAAATGTATTCTGGGCACAGGTGTTACCAGCCTTTCCTCTACCCATGGCAACTCCCACTAACAAGGTTTGTACAGAGGATGAGACAAAAAGTCAGAAACCCTATTGCATGTGTGTGTGTGGGGGGGGTAGGGGAGATTGTAGTCTAGGAACCTCTCAATAGTGGGTCTTGTAGGTTCTTGTAGTTTTAATTCAAAAAATGCTGACTTGGACAGTTTCTATAAAACCTGGTTAAAGCAAAGATCATCCCCTGCTGAGACACTTCCTTTGTTCTTCTCTAAAGCAGAAAAAGTATCTACTATCAAAAGAAAGCCCCAGTTCATCTGAGTGCCTCTTGCATGGAGGAACACTCTCATCCGATAAGCTAAGTGCTTCCAACTACAAAACCGAGGCTCAAAAATATCAAGATGTGAATGCTTGATGAAGACTTGGTTTTGTTGGCGATAGCAGAGAACACTTTGCTGAGGAAGCTGTTCTCAAGAAGAAGCTATGACTGTGTCAACATATGCAGCATTGACACTGAGTCCTGGTGCTCAACGATCTTGTCCAACTCAGGTTTCAGCATTGAGCACCTTGGACTGGCCTCATGCCAGATTTCTAGGAGTTTCCTTGAGATTCCTCAAGGAGGGCTTGGAGGTGGCACCATGTTATTATTCTTCCACATTGGTAAAGTTGGAAGTCGCAAAGTGGCCTTACTTCCTCTTTAGATGCCATACTTGAAATAAGGGGGGGAAAGGTCCTTAAAAGCTATTGGCCACAACTCATGACATTGAGGGACTTGCAAGACTGAAAGAATACCAAGTACAAAGACAGACAAACTATAAGATGTTTGGATTCTCAACAAACTTTTGTCCTGGAGCTCCTGGGACTCAGACACTGGGGTGAGGATGACAGTGCCGGCACAAGAGGACCAGGAAACTAGCAAAAATGCCACAACAGGGGCAAAAAGAAAGGAGGGTGGGAGTTCTCAATAAGATTAGTGACACCTGCACACCACAGGTGCTGAAGCACCAGAGTGCTAAGAAGAAAAGGTACCAAAGCACTGAGAAAAACAAGTGCCAGGGAACATGGTGCTCAAATAGGGTAAGTACTGCTGAAGGATACCAGACAGGCTTAATTAGAATCCTGGGTGCTGGAGATCAAAGAAACAGTCTCCTGTGGGTAGATCCTTTGCCAACTTGGTGAAGGAGAAAGTGACGGGAGCATTTGTAAAGCAGTGGGGTTTTTGCACAAAAGTGAAGATCCATGATGGATGCTGGACAGCAGGATGTGCTACACCTAAGTGAAAACACGGCCAGTGCTCTTTCCAGAGCACTTTTTAGGCATTCAGGATCATGATCTTCCCTACCTTTTCCAGATATGCCTCATCTGAATGCTACCTGCTACACTAGTTCCCTAGTTCAGTAAGCCAAATTATGGGTTCCTCCTCTATAGTGAGCTTGGAGATGGATTCCTATGTTCTAATTTCACCCTCCTAGCACACCTATGCAGGGCTCAAAGCCTACTTTATTTTTTATTTCCAACTTTCTCTTTGTTTTCTTAACAAATAAAATATTATTCAAATTCCATATTCTAAAGATAGAATAGAAACCTAACCAAACTGAGATAGCCCATACAGCAAATCTTAATGAGCAACTAACGTGTCCATTCAGAACATAACAACTGGTCTAGTGTAACAAAGAGCACAGGAGAATACCACAGTCACAAAGGATGTAACAAAAGTTATATCAAAATCATATATCCTGTGTGCTAAACCTCCTTGCTCCCCATGAGGACAAGACGTCAGCCTATAGCAGTATGATTCTTTGCAATGCTCTTCATGGATGACATCTGCAGATCAGTGTTCTCAACTATTGGCTGAACTGATTTTCAACCCATCTATATCAAGTGAGAGTTTGACGAAGCTTCAGAATCCTTTCTAACCTAACAGTTCAATTATATAATAAAGTTCACATTGTTCGTAAAGCTTGTGTGCCAGTTTCCATGTTAGAATAGCCAAAGCAATAATATCTGTTCTTGTGAATGATATCTTGTTGGGAAACCATCATTTTACAAAAATTATAGCCTTACCTTTCAATGTCTGCACGCTTAAAATTTCCACAAAAATCAGTGGGTATTTTGAGTGTGCAAGGTATGCAGGATCAGGCCCATAATTAGAACTGCAGGAATGGGGTTTTCCCGTCCAAAACAAAGTTTGAGATTTTGAATGTTTTCATTCTGAATCAGAACAAAAACAAGAAAACTCAAAAAAAAAAAGTGAGGAAAAGATGAGAAATATTCCATTTTAGGAAAACAAACTTTTTTTTTGGCTTGCTGACTGCCATCCTAACAGGTGTCCAGGCTGCCTGAAGTCCTGGGCTGTCCATCATGTGGTCACCTGGGAAGCCAGGCAGCCTGGAAATCTTGGAAGCCTGAGGTGCTGACCAACCAGGAGCCTAGAATCCCAGGAAACCCCAGCCTTCAGCACCCCACCAGCCAGGGATTCAGATATCCCACCAGCTGGGAAGTCTGCAAGCCTGGGGATCCTGGCTCCCTGGCTGCTCACCAGGTGGGCAACCTGGGATCTTGCAAGGCAAGAAGGTAGCCACCCACTGAGCCCTGAAGCCCAGGGAACCCAGCTTATGGCAGCCCGTCAGGCAGGCTACTGGGGATCATAGGAAACTTCAGTTCTCAGGAAGCTCACCAGGGCTCACTGCCATGGAATCTGGAAGCTTGTGAGCACAGAGAAGCGAGTGGACTAGCTTGCAAGTTGGCAGAAAACTGAACAGGCAGACAAGATTGCAGGCTGCCTGCTTTCTGTTGAAAGTTTTAACAGAATCAGCTCATTCCAATGGAATCTTTTGAGTCTGTCCAACCAGTATTTTCCAATGGAAAACTGTTCCATAGGACTGTTTTTGACCTGCTCTACTGATATCTATTTTCCTAGCAGATGCACAGAAGATTTACATAAGTAACTCCATTACTTGTCATAGGGGTTTTCTACATAAAAATCATATCTATTATTATGCATGTTAGAACAAAGGGCAGCTTAGCCCGCAGCATTAACTACAAAGATTTCAGTGAAGTTACACCAGAGTTGGCTCCAGAGAAAAGTGTACCACAAAGGGAATTTTGAGCGTACCTGATGGTTGCGTTCTTTTCTGATAGACATGGATCTCTCTTGCATTGTCTAGTATAATCAGTGCCTGAACATCTGTGCGATTGTATCTGTTTATTCGTAAGATGCTGAAGTTATCTGAATTAGTTGCATATAGATAGTTTTCAAATACTGTTAAACTATAAAGATGCCTAACCTGAAAAAGAGAAAAAACATGGCTATTTTTATCAGGACTTTAGAAAATAATAACAATAAATAATAAGAATAATGTAACATGTAGAAACTGAACTGTATAACAGAACCAGTTTTTGAAAAAGTAAATAAATATTTTTAAAATCTCAGTGAAGCCTGTCAAGTGATTTCTGCATTCTTTTTACTAGAGAAACATAATATTTTTATTAAAATTCTTGTTTTACAATTAAATTTATGTAAAGACAGAAAAAATCAATATTACACACACTAAATACACTTCTATAAGTCTTTGACTTTTTTTTGTCTTAGCTGTGTCTGTCTTTTAGAGTGTAAACTCTTCAGGAAATGTTTTAAATTGTGCCTTGCACAGCATCATCCACATTGTTAGTGATTAACAAATAAATAAATAAATAATAGCAACAGCATTCAGTAAAAGGCTATTATCTACATACAAAATGGAAGAATCATGCATGCACAATACGTAAGGTGAGTCACTTTCTTATTTCAATAACATTATAATTAGAGTTGAGTGAATGCCGTAAAATGTTTTCAATAAATATTTTCTTAAATTTTTAAATGAGTTCCCTGGGGTGTACCAGGCCTTTGTGGCTCCTACTGGATGGCCCACTACTCTGCTATATCCCGCGCTAGGAAACAGTGAGATGGCAGCAGAGGTGGGTCCTCCAGGCGTACCCAGAGAGGCCTCACTAGAGCAGCTATCTTGGAAGCTAGAGAGATTTGGTTCTCCAAGGGCTAGAAGAGCTAGAGACAACCAATGATGTAGCAGGCTCAGATAAAAGGAACTGCAGGGCCTTTGCAGACCAGTTTCTGGCTGGGACCAGAGGAAGAAGAGTGCTCCCCCCTGACCTGGGAACAGAGAAGAACCCAAGAAGGTCAAGGGGCCTTGTAGGAAGAGGCCCAGGGAAACAGCAGTGATGGAATGGAGTGAACAGTATGTAGTTGCTGTGCATGGGGTCCCTGGGTTTGAACCACAAGTAGTGGGTGGGCCTGGGTTCCCCTACCAGCCACAAGTAAAGTGGCATAAACCCCCAGAAAGGGACAAGCCTTATTTGGGAGTCAGAATAAAGGGATGAATTTAAAGGACCCAGAACTGGGGCTGAAGACCCTCGTGGGGACAAACAGGCTGTTTAATTACCAAACTCTTTCATATCCAGAAAGGGATTAATTTGGACTTTGTGACTTGGCCAGAGGGCCAAGCCATCGAAGACTGATCAAGGTAAGATGGCAATCTGTAAAGGGGAGCAAAGGGGGAGAAAAGCAATGTAGTCCCCCATCCAGTTGCTCAAAGGCACTCCACAGGTGAATGCCCTGTTACACCATCCTAGCGCTCCATTTTGTGTTGACTTTCTGTGAATTTTTGGTGGCTGTGTTTTACTGGCACAAATGCTTGCTAAAAATAAATTCCAACATTGTATTCATAGTATTCAGGCTTGATGTGTGTATCTATGCATGTGAGCAAGTGCATTCATTCAGTCAAGAAACAGGGACACAAAGTTAGTTAACTAACCAATCATTTTTATCAAACAATTTGAATATCAAACATCTGATACTCCAGAGACTGTTTGTGACCAAATGAAAGAGTTTTTTTTAAAAAGTAAAATAAAAAAAATCTGATGGTAGATATTCCAAAAGATTAACAATTGATTCAATTAATCAAGGAATTATTCACTGTGATGTATCCACTCAGCTCAATGTTATGCTGGACACCTTTCTAAAAATTCTTATTTTGTACAACTAAAATCCCACCCATTTCTGAAAATTACTCCTACCGGGCCAGAACTTGGCATCCATACTCAGACCTTACTCAGTCAGAATTCTAAATTGAAATTAATAAAAGTTTTGCCTGATTAAGACTCAATATTATTTAGTCCAACCATAGTAATAGGGATGTGAAAAAGAAAACACTGAAAATAATGATGCACCTGCATCACATTGCAGTAAACTATTACAATACCAATGTTTTACCAGGAAAATATTATATTTGTAAATATTTTAATATTGAAGGAATAGAGCCCTGTGCTTAAGAGGAAGATTCCCTCCTGCATGATCATCTCCTTTCTCCCCCATTTGCCCATTTCTTAATATTTTATTATTCATTTGCATCCCATTGTGAGGTACTATACTTACTTAACTGGAGTTGTGCGACTATATTTTTATGATGTATTTTAGGATGTTTTAATTATTTATTTTCATCTGTTTTATGCATTATTTTGATGGTTTTAACCATAAATGCAATTCTCCAAGTATCTTGAAAACATGAAGAGACACATAGATTACTACCAATGAAGCCAAAGAGACTATACATGATAGTACCAGTAAGCAATAAGCCGATTCTTGTTTTCAGGATCAAGACTTTAATATCTACAAAGAATACCAGTTAATATACTGGAATTCTATAGATTTAAAGAAATCCATTTTTATCATTTGTATGAGATGAACAGACTTTTATAAGAGCAAAAAATAGAATTCCATTTACCAGTGTTTAAATATGTCTATATGTTCAATCAGCTAAAATTTCTGTGTTTATTTGATTATATAACCTCCCCTCCTGTTAATAATTTCTAGCCCCTAACTTTCCGGTAATGTCCAGCTTCCCAGTAACTGGATCAAATCCAGCCCTGGGATAAACAGACAACTCCATTGAAATCCACTTAAATCACCAGAGTGGACTGAGATGATTGATAGGTTGCTCCTTCTGTACGTGATTTAACAGGCTGCCCTAATAGCCAGTTGGAATCCTTAACTTTTTGCTACTTCTCACTCCCTCAAACAACCAGCATTCAAGGATACATCTTCTGTTCTCTCCATTCTTATCTAGCTAGGTTGTTAACTAAAGCAGTTCCTCTTATCTGTTTTAGGAACTGTTCTTCAGCATCAAAGATCCCTGGAAAAGAGGAAAAATAAAACAGGCCAAATTGTAATCTTTGCTAAGGCACTGAGACCAAATCTGTGATAGTAAGCTTCAAAAATTGTGTGCCAGTTACTGCTAAAGATGGACCCCCTTCTAATCTAACTACATAGTGACAGAATGTGCCAGCAGCACCAGATGCTGAAAGGATTCAGATTTACAGGAATCTCCTTTCCAGTACAATTGGCCAAAGGCCATGGCCAATGCAGTCTATTACAGATATGGAAAAGCCTGATATCTTCCTCTCAGCCTGCCCACATGAGCATCTCTCTGCTATTCCCTGTATTCATATTTTAAAAATCAAAAAGTTAAAATATCCTGTTGTCTCTTGGTTGAGCTGGGGTCAATTTCAAGTCCATGCTTCAAGTCAATTTCCCTTTGCTGGAGAGAAACTGATATCACAGATGGATGTGTAATGTGCTCATTCTGAAATTGCATGTTTTTAACTACTCTATGTACATGAAACTTGTCAATCTACAACTGAGATCGACCCAGCCACACATGGGCAACTCCAGAAGCCCCAACTCTGTCACTGTGAGTAGCCACTAGGAACAGCTGACTTTGTCGTTGTCTCTTCAGGTTTCCAACTGTCCTCCCAACTGCCACAGAATCTTTCATTCCCTGGCAACATACTACACTCTAGTCAGAAGCCAGAAGGGCAGCAACAGACACACCACACTGCTGTCTGCTGATGTATTACTGCTCAGCAGATTTATCACTGTCCTACAGCTTAAGGACTTGGATTCAGCTCCTACTGAAATCAATGCAAAGACTCCCACTGATTTCTATATTCATCCAGACTGGCCTAGACTGGTGAGCACATCTCACTAATCATCTTTTCCTTCTTTGGTGTTATCAGGATGCATCTCCTCACCCCTACATCTCTTCTTCTTATGGTACTAATGCTATCCCCTGCCTAGACTTACTTCTAACTCTGTAATGTCCTTCCATTTCCCCCTGTTGAGATCCTTACATCTGTTTCCTCTCCTCTCCTAGATTATCTCTCATGTGCATCTCCTAAGAGTCACAGCACAGGATCTGGCCCATACACTGTAAGGTGAAATAAACAGCACATAAAATAGAACATGCAGCTGAGAACTTGTTTACCGGACTCATTTGGACCAAACAAGAATAGTGAATCTTATGACAAATATTTGTTAATGCTATGCACGTTCTTTTAATATTATTACTTTTTTATTATATTAGAAGAATCAAATACTTACTTGTCGGCCTTGAATTACTGTATGTCTGTTTCTTCCTTGATAGTCAACAACTTCTATGTAGTCCAAATATATGTCTATCCAGTAAACATATTTATTGACCAGATCTACTGCAAGAGCAGTTGGCTGCTCAATTTTAGATTCTACTATCCTTGTTCTATTCATCCCATCCATGTCACATCTCTCAATTTTGGCAACATTCCCATAGTCGGTAAAGAAAAGTTTTCTGTTGAAAGAAAATAAAGTGTTGTGGGTCTGTTTTTGCTTTGTTATTTTTTAAGAGGGTGAGCTTGATGAGTAGGTCCCCAGTGGGGCATTTTGTAAAACAAGTTTTCATTCTAATTCATTTCAGTGGTTACATCTGTTAGTAACCCATAACCATAACCATATAATATCAGCCATAAACAGAGAAATCTGCTAATGAATACTGTAAGGCATGAGGGAGCAGGTTAACTAAAGATGTGAAATATTCCAGCAAATGTGCAATTGCATTGGATTTTGTTCTGTTTTTGTTAGAGAATTTTTTAATGTATTGAAAAAGATGTGCCTTGAGGGAGCCAGTACTGCTGATTAGACATGAAATTCTTATGCAACTAAGTGCATCAGCTCAAAAATGTATGTGTCTTATGTGTTGTGTTTATCCTGCTTTTTAAACTGCTTCACTGTATTTTTTCTTTCTATAAAGGCTATTAGAATTTCATTTATGTAGATGCTAAGATTGTTACAAATAGTAGAGATCAGCAAACTTGTGATAATTAAGCTGCTAGAAGCAAATGTACTATGTATATTGACAGATATAATAAATGAAAAAGTAATCCAGAGTTCTAGATGCTCTCAGACATTCCAAAACATAACATTTCACAAAAGAAGGCAATTTACTCTATATTTCAGTTTTATCCATTTTGGGGGAAGACAGACAAGGAAGGACTACTAGCCCTGAAGAACCTCTAGTACATTTATTTTTCCAAAATGAAACATCCTGTGCAAGATTAACAGAAATCTATCAAAGACTTAAACATACCACAAAGGCTTCTAAGCCTGATAGTTTGATTACCATTCACTATGTTTAGTAAACACAAATCAATTTCAATTAACTTGACAATATTTTAACAAGATTACCTTCTCATGAGACTAAATTGCATTTGTAAATAGAAGACCATCTTGCCATGACTTTAACACTATCTCAAGAATAATTCAATTTCTAGTTACTGAATGTTATTAATATTACCTTGAGAATCAAAGATTTGATTTTCCAGATTTAGTAAATTATCTGTTAGTTATCAGCATTAATGGAACATTATGTAAAGCCCAGGGTATCTTTTTGTTGAATACTTATCTAAAAATTAATTGTTTTAGTAATTGTAGCTTCCACTGAGCATTTAATATTGCAGTATGTGGTGCCTGGGAAAGAATGTGGAGTTGCAAAGAAGACAAATGAAGATTCTGTTACATTATTAATACCTTACAACAAATGAGAATATATTTTGAGTGTAGGTCAAAAGGGTCTCACATCCAAGAAGACTTAAAAATAAAAAATACATTACAATAATGTTTTAAATACATGTAGTTTAGAGGAAGCTGCTTCTATTGTGTTAAAATGAACTGATCATATTAAGCTTATTCTTTAAAAAACACCAACTGACCATTAAAAACTGGTGGCATGATATAGCCCAGAATTACTAATTATATTGTGCATGGAGCATGGTACAAATGACATGAGAAGCGTATTAAACTGAGAAAGTTAAAAATAGCAAAAAAATACAATTAATTTAAAATTACAGTCACAAAAACAGTATCTTAAAATAATGTTTGTTAGCTATCATAAATTTTAAGCCCTCTCACCTATTGCATTTAAAGTTAGACCGGGGGAAAAAACCACTAAATGTGCATTTACCGATATATGGTTTGGATGAGCTAATAGATCCTTTCCATCTCATACTTGCTGAATAATATAAAAGCTCAACTCAAGATCTCAAAATCAAACTGGATTCTTTCAGGGTTTTTTTTTGTTTTGTTTTTGTTTTTGTTTTTTTTTTAACAGTAGCACAAGTAACAGATTATAGAATTGGAATTTAGCGGACCACATTGTTGATAGTAAACTCTTTGGGGCAGGGATCATCTTTTTTGTGTGTGTTTGTGTAGTGCCTAGCACAATGGAAAATGCACAACCAAATTCAGCACAGGGATAAATTAAGACACCTGAGGTCTCCGACATTATCAGGCCCACACAGGAAAGGTTCTCACAACCAATGCTGTGGCCTCCAAAAACACTGCCCTGCCAATCATCATCATTCCTGGACTGCAGCTTTCTTTTAGAGCTTGAAAGACTCCTCCCCACAGTACAGCCCCCAAAGATTATATTCTTCCATCACAATTCTCATTTTTCCTTTTCAGACTTTCCTCCTTCCCCAGCTCCTACCTTTCTGAGTTATCACTCTTTTAGTTTAGGGTTTTAGCTCTTTTCAGGTTTCCAAAGCAGCACTCCACCAGTTTACACTTTGTTTGCATTCCCAGTTCTCTCTTCAATGATCAGAGATGGAAACAAATGATACCTGGGGTTGTGGAGCATAATTGTGTGGCAATACAGTGAATTCCACAGCAGTGGAATCATAGAATACCAAGGAGCCTGCCTGTACCTCCCTATCTGCCATTCCCCACACCTTCTCTCTCCCTCTCTCTCTTCCAGGTCTCCTATCATAAGTAGAGCCCTGCAAATCTGCAGATATTCATTTTATATCTGCGGATACGGATATTCACGGACCATGTTCGCAGATTGCATGCGGATACAAACTTTGTTTCCGCACAGCGCTCTAATCATACGATCAGGAAGCACTAGAGAAGGAGAAAAATCTCACAAATGCACTAGTGTTTCAAGTGCAATGTCTTCCCACAAGACAACGTAATGTGAAGAAGAGATATTTCTACAACACAGAGCATGTTGGAAACCTGATCTTAACTAGAAAAGGAGTACTTGTGGCACCTTAGAGACGAACCAATTTATTTGAGCATAAGCTTTCGTGAGCTACCGCTCACTTCATCGGATGCATCTGATGAAGTGAGATGTAGCTCACGAAAGCTTATGCTCAAATAAATTGGTTCGTCTCTAAGGTGCCACAAGTACTCCTTTTCTTTTTTGCGAATACAGACTAACACGGCTGCTACTCTGAAACCTGATCTTAACTGTGTTCTCTAGGCACTATAATAGACATACGTATTAATAATAACAATGATAGGCTTTTTACCTGTTTCCCTATAAAGAGTTGTGGATTTAGTGCCAGTTAGAAGGCAGTAATGAATTGGGCTGCAGTCAGTGCCTCCTGCTCAGGAGAGGGCAATACAGAGGCTCTCTTGAAGAACAAGACTAAGATCAAAGGGTGCATGGAACGTAGCTTTGAACCACCATTCATTTCACAACAGACCACTACCACAATATTCAAAACCAACCAATCAAATGCCATTGTAGAACATTCATTGTAGAATAACTTACTTTTAGCTTGGAAATCACTACGGGTACCTGTACAATGCGAAAAACACCAGTGAGTCTCCAAGCTTGGGTCAACTGACTCAGGCTCACAGGGCTCTGCAGTACAGGGCTCAAAATAGCAGTGGAGACATTCCCACTTGGGCTGGAGCCCGGGCTCTGAGACCCGGTGAGAGGGAAGAATCTCAGACCGGCTCTTGTCACCAGCTTTTTTTTTTTTTGGGAGGGGGGCAGTATAGACTTACCTTTACTGGTTTATATCTGCAGTAACACAGATGGCTGTCTCAGCAGTGAATAGGATAGTAGCTATGAATTTGTGTACTGATCAAAACAAATCTCCTTCATTGCTATGCTAATTACAAACTGTCACTCTCTATATTCACCTCTTCTAAAGCGAGTAAAACAATGCAGCCTGGAAGGGGCGGGGGGTGGATTTACTAGTTGCTGAATTATTTATATATTTATCTGGCAATTTAAACTTCTCATACATTTTGAGCTGCTCTAATGCACAGATGACATTGGTTTCATGTCCACAGTAGGAAATGACCTCAATTTCCTTCTGAACCACCATATTGTTCTGAAACCATCTCTTTGTTTGCTCATTCCATCATCTTCATTATGATAAATATGTTGCACCCTATTATACGTTGTGCTAAACCTGAATGGAAATCAATGACACTGCATCTTAGTTCTGTCTTTCTAAAGAGCAGTAAAAGCAACCTTCAGTGATTAAAACTGAAGCATACAGTCTCAGTCTACACTATTTATAAATAAATTGGACAATAAACTTGAGCCCAGGGATGTGAGGGAAAAGACAACGATATGATTTGCTTTTGTGGATGAAGGTGAGAGACTAATAAAACACAAGAAAGTTCTAAAAATGTTTAGATAAGCATCAGATAAGCACATATATTTCAACCTCTTACATATTATAAATAAGTCTTGAAAATAAATTGAAAGTACGGCAGAATCAGTTTCAAGGATTGCAAAATGGCTCGCAGTCCTGTGGTCCTAGACAAAGAGATGAGGCCTTGAAAAAACATGCCTGGGAACACCATCCCCAGAGTTGAAACCAATACACTTCAAAAGAAAGAAAATAGTAATCGTACATACCAGAAAAAACCTGAAAAATCTTAACTAAATAGGTGTGATAACACAGTCAAGCTGCTTAGCAGCAGTGAGAGCTTTACAAATGGATGAGCCACTATTGCTCAGAGTGGATAAAAATCAATGCTTTTTTTCTAAATAAAAAAAACTGGATTGTTTTATTTAAATCGGATAGCTTTTTTATAAAATGCTTTTTGAGGAAAAAAACCTATCTAAAGATAGTTTTAATTAAGATACATTATAGCTCAAAGATATCATCATGGAATAAGGATTATAAATTCTAATTCTATAGTGTGAGAGAATATATTTATGTAATGTTTAAGAAAAGTTTTGTAAATGAGTTCCAACAGTTCATGGATTAGGGACCCAATTTTATGTGGTTCCACAGGTTTCTGTATAGATTATTTAGGTTAATCTTTCTATCTACTCAATGGGACTCAGTGCACAGTCTAGAAGATACCCATCAGAGATCCTTAGTTTTGCAGTTCTCAAACTGTGGATTTGTGTCTTCAGAGGTAACATGCTTGTTAACAAAAATGTTTTAAATAAATAAATATATAGAGGTGAGAAACAACAGACCTCAACTCTATTGTCCCTCTGCAAATTTGTGTACACAGAGTCAATCCCTTACCTCTCTC